ACTGACTTCATAGAAATACAGACTCCCTGCAGCGTGCAAGCAGGCCATTCAGCCCATCGAGTTCACACTGATCCTGCTTACAGCAACCCACCCAGACCCACCCCCATTCTTGTAACCCTCCATTTCCAACGGCTAACCCACCTAATCTGCAAACCTTTGGACTGAGAAGAAAAAACCCGGGCATCCAGAGGAAACCTAAGCAGACACGAAGAGAACGTGCAAGCTCCACACAGTCACCCAAGGGTGGAATCGAATCCGGCTTAAACAGGTCTTTTGTTAAAAAGGCTATACATTTAATTCTTAGAGCTGAGTTTTTGAAGGGTTGTGGAAATTTTATTCCACGTAGCCAGACAGTTGAGTTTTATTTTTAAAACAAAAAAGGTAAAAGAAACCACACAATTTAACAAAACACTTCTGGGAAATCCCAACTTCAGCTAATTCACAGAATTGTTACTGTATAGGAAGTCATTTGGCCCATCCTGCCTGCACTGGTGGATTTACTTGGACTCACTTCTTAGAAACTATATGTCTGGATTTGATTTGGATGTCTGTTGGGAAAAAGCATACTGGAAAAGAAAGGTTGTTCAGATCAAGTGTGTTTCTGTGACACCCTTGTGAGCTAGTGGGAAACCTGCAGCTAGGAGACTTCTCAATACGGTTTCCTGAAAAATCTGTCTGCTGAAACACCAGACTGTACCACATGACTATTAACTGCTGCATGTGTGCTAGAATTTACAGCGAACAGTCCATAAAACTTATTTTTCCCTCAAGAAATAACCATCAATAGTCAATGGTGTTTTCTCCCATGGTGAGTCGCTGCACAGTGAATTAGTTTTTGATTCTTGCATTGCACGTGTGGTGCTTTGAATTATGTAACGTGAACAAATATGTATATTTTCACACTATAAACTGTGTGTTAACAGTTTTGTAACTTGATGGAATCATCTGTTTCACAATAAATCAATAATTCTCTTTATCAAAGAAATCTGGATGATGGATCTTTTTATTCCAGGTCTTCTAATAGACAAAGCATTAAATTGGCCACGTTAGGAACTGGGTAAAACAACTGAATTTAATGTTATAACCCATGGATTAGTCAAACAAGAGACAAACAGTACTCAACTCCAATCTCTGTCATAATTTGATGAAGTGCCACACAATAGACTCATGAAATAATAGGGACAGTAGGAACATGGATATGAAACTGGCTGAATGACAAGAGATGAAGGAAGGCTTGCAGTAAAATTTCGCAGGGGTGGGTTTTGAGACCTTCACTCTTGCTGATATTTATATTATAATAACCTAGACGTTGGTGCACTGGATGAAACTGACATGTCTGGATGATATAAATCCCTGAAAATTTTGAACTGAGAAGCATTATGTAGAACTTCAGAAGGGTTATAGTTCGAGGAATAGGCTGATGTTCAACACTGAAGAGTGTGAAATGACTCATTTTTGAAAGAGAAGGCAATGCTAAAGAAAGCACAAGTCATTGAAGGTGGTAGTACAGATTCAACAGTAGCTATATAAAGCATACAGTAACCTAGGCTTAATTAATCAGGAACAAGAGTAAGAAAGTTATCAAAGAAAAAAAGAATTGCAGCTACTACAAATCTGAACCAAAAACAGAATTTGATTTGATTTTGTTTTGCTTTCTTATTGTCACATGCACCCAAGTACAGTGAAAAGTTTTTTGCGTGCCGTACATGCAGATCATAACATATAAAGATCATAGCATGACTGAACACAGCAAGGAATACAAAGTTATTATTGTAAAGACGGTGCACAAAAACCAAGATCAACATTAGATCTCAAATTTGAGCAGTCCATTCAGAAGTCTAATAACAGCAGTGAAGAAGCTCTTCTTGAACCTGTTGTCTAAGTGCATTTAAGCTTTTGTGTTTTCTGCCTGAAGGAAGAAGTTGGAAGAGATTATAACTGGGGTGGGAGGGTCTTTCCAAGGCAGAGAAGGGAAGATGGAGTCAATGGATGGAAAGCTGGCTTGCGTGATGATCTGAGCTGTGTGCTGGAAAAACTCAGCAGGTTTGGCAGCATCTGTGGAAAGAAAGCAGAGTTACGGACTTGAAACGTTAATGCTGCCTTCTCTCCACAGGAGATGTTAAACTTGTATAACCTCAACTTGAGCATCACACGTCACCCCATACTTTTTTTTTTTTTTTTTTTTTAAATTCACACACAGGACATGGGCATTACTGGCTGGGCCAGCATTTGTTACCTCTCCCAAATGCCTTTGAGAAGATGGCGTTGACTGCATTCTTGAACCACTGCAGTCCATATACTGTAGGTTGACCCACAATGCCCTTAAGGCAGGGAATTCCACGATTTTGACCCGGTGACAGTAAAGGGATGGCAATATATTTCCAAGTTAGCATGGTGACTGGCTTAGAGGGGAACTTGCAAGTAGTAGTTTTCCCATGCATCTGCTGCCCTTAGCCTTCCAGGTGGAAATGGTCATGAGTTTGGAAGATGTTTTCAAGGATCTTTGTAATATCCACAAGCTGTAGTTCAAAAATTCACCAAACTGGTCCTACTGAGCATTGGAGGAGGAGTTGCGGTGCCAGTCAAGTGGGCTGCTTTGTTCCTGGATGGAGTCAAGCTTCTTGAGCATTGTTGGAGCTGCTCAAGTGGGCAGTATTCCATCACATTCCTGACGTGTCAGGTAGGTGGTGGACAGACTTTAGGCAGTCAGATGGAGAGTTACTCGCTGCAGTACTCCTAGCTTATGCAGTCACTGTGCTTCTATACAAAGTCCAGTCTTTGTCAATGCCAACCCCCAGGATGTTCGAAGTGGGACATTCAGTGATGGAAACACCGTTAAATGTCAAGGGGCCAATAGTTAGATTGTCTTTAACTGAAGATGATCATTACCTGGCATTTCTGTGACACGAATTTAGGTCACTACCCTGAGCAACTCCTGCAGAGGTGCCCTGGAGCCGAGATGACTGACTTCCAACAATAACAACCACTTTCCTATGACTCCAACTAGCACAGAGTTTGCCCCCTGATTTCCATTGATTGCAGTTTTCCTAAGGCTACTTGGCCCCATTTGGAGTCAAATGTGGCCTTTATGTTAAGGGCTTTCACTCTCTCTCAGAATTCAGCACTTCTGTCCATATTAAACCAAAACTGTAACGGGGTCAGGAGCTGAGGAGCCCTAGCAGAACCCAAACTGGGTGTCAATGAGCAGGTTATCGCTGAGCAGGTGCTGTTTGACAGCACTGCTAAAGACATTTCAACACTGACGCTATAATGGTTTTAACAGGTGTATTTAGTCCTTTGTTTTGAAGAAAGGTTGAGGCAGAAGTGACGAGCAGTCTGCTTCAAAGCCCATAAACCCCAAAGGGGCCTTGGGGTTTTTTCCTAAATTTGGAAAAGCAGCAGCCTGAATGGGTGGTGTCAAGCTCCCACAGAACCAAGATTTTTAGTTTTAGTTTTTCAGTAGCAGTTGCTGGGGTCTTGAAGCTGGATGTGGAAGCTGTTCTTCCTCTCTCTGTTACAGCTAAAAGCTGGGGATTCTCTTCCTGCTGCTAGAATTGCATGTGAGACACTATTTTATTGAATTTGCCTTTGCCAAGGGTGTGTTTAAGAGTTAAAAAGATGTAGAGCTGGATGAACACAGCAGGCCAAGCAGCATCAGAGGAGCAGGAAGGCTGACGTTTCGGGCCTAGACCCTTCTTCAGAAAGGGTGCTCTGATGCTGCTTGGCCTGCTGTGTTCATTCAGCTCTACACCTTGTTATCTCAGATTCTCCAGCATCTGCAGTTCCTACTATCTCTGTGTTTAAGAGTTACTGTTTAGCAGTTAATCTATTATTCCGTTAAGTTTTCCAGCAGTTAGGTTATTCCAATTTTTATTGTATTTTAACTATATGTGCAAAGAGTGATATTTTTTGCTTCAAGACTGGTAGTTTCACAAATCAAATTGTATCTAGAACACAACACCTGGCCTAGGCTGTCATAATGATGGGGTGTGCGCGCACATGGTGGTTGGTCTGGTCTGGTCTATAATAGCACTACAAGGATAGGAAGTAATTGGAAAGAACGCACAAAGCAATGAGTGTGGTTCCAGGGATGAGGAACTTCAGTTACATGGATAAATTGAAGAAGTTTGGGCTACTTACTTTGTAGAAGAGAAAGTTTAAACAAGATTCGATAGAGGTATCCAACATCTCACAGGCCTCTCGACATGGTAGAATACAGAAATAAAATCCCACTTTTAGAAGGATCAAGAACAAGGTGCCGCTGTTGGACTGGAGTGGACAAGGTCAAAAATCATATGACACCAAGTTATAGTCCAACAGGCTTATTTGAAGACACAAGCTTTCAGAGTCTCACCTGAAGACAGAGAGAGACTCCCAAAAGTCGTGTCTTCAAATAAGCCTGTTGGCCTATAGCTTGGTGTTGTGATTTTTGACAAAGAACAAGTGCACAGATTGAAATTAAGTGGCAAAAGAAGCAATGGTGAGTGGATGAAAGAGAGGTTTGGAACACATCAACAATCTGGAACAAATAGTCTTAAGGTATAGTTTAATTGTAGCATCTAAAAAAGTGAAGTAGATCGTCATTTGAAAGGGGACACTACATAGTCTTAGTGAGATAGCAATAAATAGCTTTAAGTAAATTGCTCATTCAGAAAATGATGCAAACATGACAGGCCAAATAGCCCCCTTCAAAGCTGTCACAACTGAGAGTCTCTCATCATGTGATGTTTGTAAAGTGGCCACACTCAATAATTTACAGCGCTTCAACCTAAAACGAAAGCTGGGAAAAGAAGCACCGATGTAATGGACCAAGTACTTGCTCACAGTAAAACGTTTAGTCGCCTTGAGACATGGATTAGCACGAGAAAATAAGTTTGCCAAAGGTCTTTCACGAAAACTATGTCTCACAACAAGGACTAGTAGCATGAAAGAGTTCCTGTGTCAGAGAACAGAGCAGAAGGAGTGTGTAAAATCCGGCATACAGGGGCTCTCTAACTTACTTCTTGTAGTCTACGCTGAAGAGCCGGAACCCAGCTGCTGCCCCTCCTCCTGAAGTCACGGCCGTGGCTTCTTGGCCCAACTCGGTCGATTCACTCCCCAGAGTCTGGTCGTTGTAGGACATGCTGTTGGTCGCCATACTCGTCCTGAGGCTCTCGTCCCGTACCCCAAACACCAGCTGCCAAAGTGATGTGAACGGTTAGTTTAATCTGTGCAATGTTGAAACGTCCCCGCCGCCTGCCAGCCGGTCCCTACTCGAGCGACACCGGAAGTGTGACGGGGGGGAAGAGGTCAGCTGACACGGAGATCACATGACCCGGCGGCTGCCATGGAAACGCCCCTTGCACACAACCCTCATGACGCCGCCCTGCTCAACTGGAGGGCAAAAAAAGGTTGCTTTCTTCTTTAAAAACACTCAATGCAAATTCATGGTAAGGATGTAAGAGAGAGGAGCAGGTCACATTTATGGTCCCTCTTCCCTGTTCCAAAAAGATTCAGGGAGTTATGGTACAAGAGGAAATTGGCCCACAAATATAAGTAAGAAATGCCTTGGGTTTGGTTGTTGGATGGAGTCAAACTCCCAATGTTTGTGTGTTTATCCATATGTTACTGTACAGAACCAAACTGCTACAGTGACTGTGTATGTATACAAAGATATGTTTATGAATAAAGTATGTTTTTAAAGTTTCAGAAAAGCTGGCTCACAAATGAGCCAAATAAAATGAGTGAGATGAACAGTGGTAGATGAAAGTTAATTGAAACTCAATGTCAAAGCCCATGTGATGTAGGAAGGTACATGCTCTCAGAGCATCACCGCTCTAATTATTACAAAGGATTACTACTCTAATAACGTTACTACTATGCACCCAGAGGGAAAAAGGGAAAAAAAACAATACTTGGAAATGAATGTACTGGTCGTATTAGAGCACTACTGACACTACAAACAGGTTGGACTAGTATGCATCATTTGTAAGTTTTACTGGTATTTCGTCAGGATTTTGAAAATTTTTAGCAAATCTTTTAGATTTCTTCTGCACTGTCTGCAATGAACACAGAACAGGAACAAGCCCTTTGGACCACCTTGAAAAGCATTAACATCCTTCCTGTACACATACTCCAGCTGCTAATATAATTTCATTGTAACCTCCCTGCTCCTATTAATGAAGTGTAGAATACTGTATGCTTTATTGACAAAGAACAAAGAAAATTACAGCACAGGAACAGGCCCTTCGGCCCTCCAAGCCTGCGCCGATCCAGATCCTCTATCTAAACCTGTCACCTATTTTCCAAGGATCTGTATCCCTCTGCTCCCTGCACACTCATGTATCTGTCTAGATTCATCTTAAATGACGCTATCATGCCCGCCTCTACCACCTCCGCTGGCAACGCATTCCAGGCACCCACCACCCTCTGCGTAAAGAACTTTCCACGCATATCTCCCTCAAACGTTTCCCCTCTCACCTTGAAATCGTGACCCCTAGTAATTGAGTCCCCCACTCTGGGAAAAAGCTTCTTGCTATCCACCCTGTCTGTACCTCTCATGATTTTGTAGACCTCAATCAGGTCCCCCCCTCAACCTCTGTCTTTCTAATGTAAATAATCCTAATCTACTCAGCCTCTCTTCATAGCTAGAAGAGACAGTTCTGTCTTTGTCTTGCCATTTTAAATGACTTATGTATAAATACCCAGGCCTCTATTCTCTGACACACCCTTTGGAAAAGTGTAGTTTATTTTATTCTGTCTCTCCACACTGTTTGTACCAAAATGTATCACCTCACACTTCACACTGAACTTTATCCACCCACTCAACCAAAGTGCCAATGTTCTTTTGAAGTTCAAAGTTGTCCTCTTCACAGCTTCCAATTCTCCTGAGATTTCTGTCACCCACAAGATTTGAAATTGCACCTCGCACATAAGATCTCAATCATTTATACCTATGTCAGGAAAAGCAAGGGTTCCAAAAGTTAACCCTGGGGGACTTCACTACAAACCTTCTGGCAGCCCAGAAAATATCCATTATCAATTACGCTCTGTTTCCTATTATTCGAAATGTGATAACTTTCTTAACAAGTCTGGTTATTGTGTGGCACTGTATTGAATGCCTTTTGGAAATCCATGTGCACCATATAACAGCTTTGTCCCCACAACAACTCTTAATGCTTCAAAAGGTCCAGCAAATTAGTTAGACATGATTTTCCCTTTATACATCCATACTGACTCTTCTGAATCAACTGATATTTTTCCATGTGTTATTAGCTCTATTCTGAAAAATTGTTGGCATAGTTAACACCAAGGAGGAAAGCCTTAGTCTGTAGGGCTATATAGACAGACTGGTCAGGTGGGCTGAACAGTGCAAATGCAATTTAATCCTGAAATATGTGAGGTCATGCATTTTGGGAGAACTAACAAGGCAAGGGAGTACACGTTGAATGGTAGGACCCTAGGGAGCACAGAGGTTCAGAGGGACCTTTGTGTGCATGTCCATAGATCCTTGAAGGCATCAGGACAGATAGATAAGGTCATGAAGAAGGCCTAAGGAATACCTACCTTGAATAATCAAGACATTGAATACACAAGCAAAGAATTGATGATTGAGCTGTATATAACATTGGTTAGGCCAAAGCTGTAGCACTGTATGGAGTTCTTATTGCCACACAATAGGAAAGATGTGATTGCATTAGAGACAATGCAGAAGAAATTTACCATGATGTTGCCTGGACTGGAGTTAATCAGCTATGAAGAAAAACTAAATAGAAAAGAAGAAGAAACGGCTGACAAGGGATCTGATTAAAGTATACAAAGTTAAATAGATTGAGAGAAACTTTTCCCCTTAGCAGAGGGGTCAAAAACCATCTACAAGATGCACTGCAACAACTCATCAAGGCTCCATAGATAGCACCTTACAAACCAGTACTCTCTACAATCTAATAGGAAAAGGACATCAGGTACATGAGAACTGCACCACCAGCAAGTTCCCCTCCAAACCACACACCATCCTGACTTGGAACAACGTCACTATTCCTTCACTGTCTCTGGAGCAAAATCCTGGAACTTATGAATTGTAGCAGTTCAAGAAGGCAACTCACCACCATCTTCTCAGCACCAATTAGGCATGTGTAATAAATGCTAGGCTAGCCAATGTTGCCCACATCCCATTAATTAATAAATAAATTTTGAAACACACTAACTTGTTTAGGTTTAAAATTAGGCCTTGCAGATGACAAATTCAGAAGGCAACAAGAAAGGAGAGGAAGAGTATTAAAAAAGGAAAAGTAAGGTATACAAATAAAGGCTACCAAAATCAGGAGTTTTAGTTAGAGTACCGTGAGAAGATGAGTCTGTTGTGAAATACCTTCAGAACTATTGAATTTGATTTTGTTTGTAGTGTCCATTATGAGATGTTGTGTTAGCAGTAGATGAGACAACATTGCTCGAAAAATATGAAAATAAATAAAATACAGTCCTCCTACACAACATCTGTGTTCTACTTCAACTTTTTTTCTTTATCTCTCTATTTGTATCTAAGATTTGTACCTAGGTATTTTGTACCTGAAATGGCACCAAGTGGGGCAACATTGTAAACTTTTCACTGTACTCTTGTACTTGAGTACTAATGACAGTTATCCTATAGGGGGTTCTGCTATAATGCGCATTCCAGCAACACGAATTGACAATGATGCAATTGACAAATCAGTGAACAGTATTTCCACAGTGCGAACTTTGTGTTGCCTATAACATGATTACGTCGAGTCCACTGGACTTGATGTTATTGAATGTTTTTCTTTGACCCACAATACTCAAGGTAAAACCTAACCATTGATTCATAAAGTTTTAGCACAACTTCCTTTTTGTTAACTACGCATAGTCTAACACCTGCCTTTCTCACCAAAACCTCACTCTTACATGCTTACAAGCTGAATTATTTTCAGCAGCTGCTTATCTTTGACGTTAACTACAAATCCTAATCCCTCCTTTTGCTCTCATACGAGATAAATATGGGGCACTCAAAGGTTGATGAGGTTTACATGCAAGATTTCATGGCTGCCGTCAAAGCTAGCCTAAGGAATTTGTATAAAAATAGTCAACATACCGGTTCTTGAAATATCAGTTCTCTCTTCTGGAACCTGTTATTGTATAACAGTGAGGAAAATTTCGGGCTTGGTTGGCTGTGGAGCAGGTAGCTTACTAACATTCACTGTCAAGTTCTGTATGGAGAACAGTCACTTGAGCAAGATTGAGAAAGGTCAGTGGTTCCTGTAGAACAGGCCAGTAAAACAGGTGGACCATGGGCTGGACTGTGAATATTCACTTCCCAGCCATGATCATCCTGCAGCCACATTTCCATAATGACAGTTAGATCATATCTGTTCACTTCAGTTAATGCTATCATTTCATCTGCTTTGTTGCAAATGCAGGGGGTGTTTTAATGATAGTGGGGGTTAAAGGGATGGATAGAGGTTACAGAGATAGGGAGGTTTATACCAGCTGTGGAAAGTTATAAGGACACTGGGAATTGAAGGGACGGATAGAGTTGGTCTTAGGGAGGTTGACAGGTATTCAAGAATGTTACAGTTACGGAGTTACGGAAAATTGCAGTTGCAGGAGGTACTGTATTTACAGAGATATAGGGGGCTGGATTAGATTCCTGAGATAGGGATGGATGCAGGGAGCGAGAGACACACACAAACACACGGAGCTTGAGTGTTGAGTGATTTTTTTGGTGCTCTGCCCCTAACCTTGCTTTTCCTATCGGCCCATTATCTCTAAAGCGCGATGTTACGCTGGAACTCAAGTATCGCATTAAAGCAGAACTCTTGTAATTCTAACGTACGAAATGCATCCATTCCAATAGCTTTTCACGGAATGTGTAAGAAACGTACACAAACTGACATGAGGTGGCGCTGCATTCCCGGGTCCCATTGAATAATTGCTGACTGAAAATCGGTGTAAGCAGTGGAGCTAAAATCTTCAGACAGAAATCATTTGATCTGCGTTATACAGCACTTTTCATACCTAAGGATGCCCTAACCAATGTAGTACTTGTAAACATAGTCATTACTATATGAATTACACACAAATAGCTTTATAATAATGACCAGGGTCTAGGCCCGAAACGTCAGCCTGTCTGCTCCTATGATGCTGCTTGGCCTGCTGTGTTCATCCAGCCCTGCACCTTGTTGTCTCAGGTATTGTGCTCTTGTGATTGAGGGATAACTGTCAGCCAGGACACCAGGGATGACTCATTTGAAATAGTATCATCTTTTAATCTACTGGAGAGGTAGCTGGGTCCTTAGGTTAACTCCTTCGCTGAAAGGCAACATTTCCGTCAATGTAACACTCCCTTCAT